TGAATAATTACCCCCTTTACAGTATGTAATTAGGAAACAACAGTTTTTATTTGGACTGATTATATTCACAGAATTTTTTCATCAAGCACTTATAGTCAGGGTGGTATAATAAATAAAATGATTCTTGTTGCTACAAAAACACTGGTGAATTACGAAGATAGAATAATGCATAATGACTAACATTTACAATTGAAATGTTTGACCACAAGAGGGCGCTATGACAGACTAAATATGCTTAGGTTGTGTGGATTAGCCTTAGTGTTAAGATAACATCTGTTATAGACCTACATGGATCAATGCCTAATTAAGTCAAAATACTGATGTTTTTTTGTTTTGTTTTTTTCAAGGGAAAATCAGCCTGTACACGGTAGGTGTTATGATTTATTACTGTTATTATTGCAAATTACCGTAATAGTGCTTGTTAGACCAGTGCCAATGGTCATTCATTGGGACTATAACAGCATATTAGATAATCTGATGGTGTTCCCTCTAAGTATTATTTTTATTACATTTGTGAGAAGCACAAGTTACTCTGTGAAATTTTACACTTGAGAAACCTATTCAGCTCCGCTGTTGACTTAGTCAACTTTACATTTTTGACTTCTTGAAAATAGCAAGCCTGCTTTGAGTAGACCATTTCATGATGTTGAAGTTTCTAAGTTTAGTGAATATTTGAAAAATGAAATTTTCTACTTTTCCTTAAAATGGCTAACCCAATTGCTTTGATATTTCATAAGTAGGCACTTATGAATGAACCTTAGTCAGGTTTGTTCATTTTGTGTCGATACCTTTAAGCCCCTAATTTTAGGGAATGTTTTTGTCATTTTTAGTAAAAAAATGGTATTTTTAAAAATGGGTTGTTCAATTGCATTGATATTTTATATGCAGATGCAAATGAGGGTGGATCTCTGACAGATTTCTTTTCATTTCATGAAATACAATGTATACAGAAAAGCTATATCAGCCAAGAGGCTGCTTGTTTTAATTTTTTTTGGTATGTAAATATACCTTATGCAAGGTGTAATTTGAGATGAGATAATACAATTTTTTAAGGCCAAATTTCAGTTATGTTTTTACTGATTGTAGAAACTATAAAAAAAAGTTCTTGTTTAAGGCAGATTGAGATACAGCTTCCTCTACCATATGATTATGATAGAAAGATGGCCACAGAGCTATGTTATGTTTTACCTGTTCTACATTGAACCTGCCTGTAATCAGACTGCAATGTCATGTCCCTGGGTTTGTCTTAGTTCTCATTTCATTACCACGGATTCAAAATATCAGTGTAATGTCTTACTTTGGCTTCCAATTCATGATAAAAATATGTTTGTTGATTCTCCAACTTTGTTTTTGTTGCCTAGACCTGACAGATAAATGTTAGTGCAATCACTTCATGAGCACCTTGACAGTGTATTCATGTATGTACTTAGTAATCGTATTGGGTTGTGTATTGATTCCTTTTCACCATGGTTGTGTTGCAAATTATTGCTCACTTTACTTGCTGCGCTGAAAAGCTAAATGTACTTTGCCTAACTTCTATGCTCCACCATGACTTCCAGTTCATTTAATGTCACAATCATAGTTTTTTTTTCAATTTATTTCTAAAAAGAAACAATCAAGTAAATTTTTGAATCACCAGTCATTTTTAGCGTAGTGGTTGTCGCATCAGACTCATGACCGGTAGACCCAAGTTCAAATCCTATCTTAGGCTAAACATCAAAAGGGTCGACCCCTACCCTGGGTGAGTGTGCCCCAGGCTCAATGGGAAGGCCAATTCCACTGGCTGAGATTCATTCACTAACGAATGCGTCTTTGAGGGAACCTTGGTTAAGGTCCGCAGGTTCGACCGAGCCTGGTTGACGTCAGGATAGCGCATTAAAATTGCCGTTTGATAGCGAGATGGCAACACAGCCCTGTCATGTAGTCCCAAACAGGAAATGACTTCTGTGGCAAAATGCACTATGTGTCAGCAATAGCACTTGCAATTTGCTCATACAAAAAAGAAAAAAAGTCAGGAGAGACAACAGTGACATTCAATGTACGTAACTGTCGTCTGGCACAAAAACATTTTTAAAAAAAAAGTTTGAAATTACCATCATGTTAAAAGTCTATTGCATCTCCTTTATGGTGGACTAAAATTTGTGATAAAAATATATAATGCAGGCTTGATATGAACAACACAAATGCTATTAATATGCAAATCTTGGTAATCAGTGAAAAATTTACTATATAGTATGTTTCACCGAATAAAAGATGCATAGATTCTAGCTGTCATTTATATCAATTGTACATGTTTTCAATGTTACAATACATCCATTACACAACAAACTGAATACTCCGATTATTTCTATTGCAGTTGTAGTTGATCCAGTAGTGTCCAAAGTTCTGAGGCCTCATCAGAGAGAGGTAAAAATACTATTGTACTTGAACTCACATCCAGATAGCACTTTTACTATGGTGTGATGTGGTCAGAATACTTGTCTGTATCATTTATATTCACAATGAATGTTCCACTTAGTCTTGACCTTGGTATTTCCACTTATGATATGCATATCAAGACTAATTTATTTTATGTCTGGTCAACGAAACTTGTTGTACATTGAATTCTGCTTTGAGTGCTCACTGTTCACAACCACTTTTGAAGTGTGTAGTTAATTTAGAAAAGGAGCTGCCTAAATGGCTGTATAATAGTCTAGTGTGGGCTGCAGATCAACTTTAATGGGCAATGCTTCATATTGAATTTTGTAATTCAAAAAATTGTGTTACGCATTTAGTGACGTAATTGCTAGGTACTCATATTTCACATTCAACATATTCAAAGATACTCTGTATTTTTAACAAATAGTTAAATTCTATTGTTTTTTGCCAGACTTGATATGGCAAGCGCTTCCAGGTAGTACAGCTTTTAGACAAGATGTAATGCAAATTTATTTTTAAAATGTCACAGGAGTGTTGAATTTCTTTTGTATAAAACTGAAGTTGGACAGGCCTTACAGATTTACTGCAACTTGTATGTTTTTGCAGGTCTGTGACAGATCTGACAGTTTTGTTCTATGTCATGTATGATTCAAGAGGTCTGTAAATGGTCTGACTGATCAGTCCTGCACCATGTATGTTTGAGCAGGCCTTAACAGATAAAATAGAATAGTCTAGTACCATTGTGCTCCGGAGTCATGTACCATGTGTGTAACAAACTGTCTTAGACGAAACCTGTCACAGGTCTATTCAAATTTAGTTGTGTATCTTGCATATATATCAAAATACTGCATATAATTTGTCATCAAATCACTGAATCATCACAATTTCAGAGTCTCTGATTCAAAGTATACTGTACACCATTCAGTTTTTGTGATTTAATTACATGTATTTGTTGGCATTCTCTGGAACAAAGACTAATTGTCACTGACTCCCTGTTAATGCTACAAAATTTGACTATTTTCCCCTACAGATTTGTATCTCACAAAATAAATCCATTTCACAGTACTGTAAAATCTGTAATAGAAAAAAATTAAAAAGGTACAATACAACATAGGGGATGCGGCTTATATTAGAGCATCTACACATATGAGAAATGATGAATGTTTGGCTCTCAATTATTCAAATAGAATGGATGCAGCTTCTATTAGAGATGCCATGGGACTTCTAATACAGATTTCTAAGAATTATTCAGACAGTCAGTTAGCAATATATCTTGGAACTTTGCAAAACACTTGGGTCTTTTTCCAATCTAGACTTGGTGGCGCTGTTGTATTGGCACGCCCACAATTGGAATTATTCCATTATCTTGCAAGATGTGGGTAAAACGTTGTTTTCAAAACGACACGCGTTGGTTACCATATATTAACAGGTTATATGTTGTATATGTATTCAAAGTGTTATTTTAAATTGTTATAACCATCTGAGTCCACCTGACATAGCGCAATTTACAAAACAACTGCCGAGTGTTGAGTAACCCCAGGTATTAATGGACTCGTCGTTGGCGGGAAGGCTCAAAGTAAAGATTCATAGCGGGACGCGCTGCAGTTTCGTGACAGCTTTGGGCCAAACTAAAAGTTGTTTTTACATTACTGGTGCATTATGTATCAAATTCTGATTTTATACCGAGGTGGGAGAGTACGTCAGGAATACACAGACGGAAAACGCGATTATTACGAATCATTTTTTCAACTGCAGTTTGAAAATGATGGGGTATAACGACCGTTATTATGTCTAGTCCATTTTTGTAACAGGTACAATAGCGCAATAATAATAGAGCAAATATGGTAGGCACTATGAGTAAAAAAGTTTTGATTTACTTTAAATTCATAAAATCTGGCACTCAGACATTCTACTGGTCTACATTAATTTTAATTAGTTTCCCCGGAGCAATAAAATATGCAAATATTAAAACCAATAAAAAAAATATTTTGCTTTTTCATTTTGTGGGCAATTTATCAGGAATCAGTAAAAATGATTTACATTTTATGAAATTAATCTTTTTTATGGTATGTAAAATATGTAACACTTCAACTTACTCGTTTTAAAATATGAATTTTGATTTATTTGTAGGGTGTGAAGTTTATGTGGGACTGTGTGACTGGTAGACGAATAGAGAAGAGTTACGGCTGTATTATGGCTGATGAAATGGTATGTATCAAAACAGTCATTGGCTGAGAAACCATTCACTCCTTCTGATGAAATGAACTAACGCCCAACTGGATATATCGACATATATACCGTACATATTAAATAAAACTCAGTTATGTCGATCACTTGAAACTCTTTTATTGACTAATGATTTCATCTGATTATTTTTTGTTTCATATTAACTGTATCAATGATGAATGTAAATATAATTATGTTTTGCTGGTTGGATTTATTGCAGGGTTTGGGTAAAACTTTACAATGTATAACTTTGATGTGGACGTTACTCAAACAGAGCCCAGACTGTAAGTAAATATAACTAGTATTTATATCATATTACTGGGTATGCAAACAACTAAAAAATTATTAATTTATGTTTAGAGAAATGGTTTCTGTATTTGCTTATTTAAAAGCGTATCTGAAATAGAGGCCCACATAAACAGAATATTGATTTATTTTCACCACCTCTGCACATTTGCTGCTAACAATGCAAATTTAGTAATTGTAATCACCCGTTTGATGATGTTCTAATCCAGGTTTTTGTTAATACACTGTCAATGACCTGGCCTAATTCTCTGTTTTCATGTGTTTCTAGCCCTTAAATTTGGTTATGT